ATTAAGCCCTGAGCCGGGGTGTTATAGGTTTTTCCTTTAAACAACCCAGCATCAACCATGTTTTGATCTCCTAGGAAAGAATTATCATCAACTTTCATCTTCAGAGGTGTATCAAATTTGAGCCCCCCTTGCTGAATAGCTCTCTGTATATGCTACCTAAAGATTCTTCATTCATTAGTGGAATGAGAAGTAGCGTTATGGAATTTGTAGAACTTCTTGTTCTTCAACTGATCAGGGGACAACATGACATGACCATCGGGCAACTTGATCTGCCCCTTGTCAAGCAAGAAATTGAAGAGTTTGTCCAACTTGGTAACATCAAACTCATAACTCTCCTCAACTTCTCTTCCCCAAGGATTTGGCACCATCACTGTCTTCTTGCTCCAATTCCATTCAGCTGCAGCAACCTCTTCTTCTTCATCTTCATCGCCGTCATCGACTGAATATGGATCGTAAGCTTTGGCTACTGAAGTACTCTTTTGGAATCGGGTATCTCTGCGTATGCTCTGGAATTGGCTATTAAGTGCTGCCACTCGTTGAGCCAATTGATTCAAGTTGTCAAATTCCTGTCCCAGCAATTTCTCTTTCCACATCGACAGCATTCCTTGAACAGCTAAAGCAGCTAGTTGATCATCGGCCAAGTTCAAGGAGAAGCATAAGTTCCTGGTTTCTCGAAACCTCTGAAAAAATTCAATTCCTGATTCTTTAGTCCTCTGTCTTATGGTTGTCAGATCGGTAATCTTCTTTTCTCCAGTCCCAATGTAAAAATATGTATGAAACTTCTTCTCCAGGTCGGCCCAATTGACAATGGAATTGACTAGCAATGATGAAAACCAAGTGAAGGCTGGCCCTGGTAGGGACAAGGAGAAGAAATGAACTTGATGGACGTCTTCAACTGATGCTTCACCTAATTGTGTAAGATAGCGACTGACATGTTCTATCGTGCTTGTACTATCTTGGCCAGTGAACTTAGCGAATTCTGGGAGCCTGTAATTTGTTGGAAGAGCGATCAAATCATACCATTTTGGATATGGACGTTTGTACGAAAAGGTCAACCATTTTGGCTTCAGACCGAACTGATTCTTCATCATCTCGGTCACCCTTAGCAGCAACTCATCAGCATTTAAATTTGGAGTTCTCTGCACCTGCTGACCCATCTGTGGGTTGAAATCCCATGTGCCTTGATATCTTGGATTTGGTATTATGTGGAGAGTGTTATAATCTATGTCATAATGATACCCCTATGGAATTTCAATCTGCTGGGTCCTTTGCTGGCTTGCTGCTTGAAGTCTCTGATTATAGACATAAGGATCTATATCTTTATGGATCATTTGAACTGATGGTGCTATCTTTTAAGCCGACGATGGTATGTGGCCTGATGTACCAAAATTGATCACCAGGTTCTGACTTTGCCCCGTTGGCTATTGCACATGATATACTGGTGGTCCAGAACTGTATTGTGTCTGATTCGCAGCAGTTCCTTGAGTTTGTTCAGAAGATCCCTAAACTGTCTAGACATCACCACTACCAGCTGGTACTGCTTCTTGATGGCTGGTACCGACTTGATTAGTCCCTTGGGTAGATGGATCTAGAATATTGTAATAAGCCGGTCCACCTTGACCACCTAGAAATCCATGAATTGCCTCTTTCATGGCATTGTGGAACACGTCCACGAAGGCTTCGTTGTGACTTGACATGGCATCTCGAATAGATTTGTCTATAACCTCTTTAAAGAAACGCTTGTCTTCAGCTTCAGTCATGTCTGTCTGTCCGTGTAACAGAACCCTTGGTAGTGGAAATTTTTGAACAATTGTGTTGTCGCATGTTTTGGTGTAGGACAACAAATATTTGTTCTGAAACTCTTCTATAGCTTTGCCGATGACCTCTTTATCTCCATCAGGTAGATCTTCATAATGTAGCATAAGGATGTCGCTGTTGTTATGAGTTGCCATGACGATTATGGTGTCCCACCGGGCATGCCAGAAACATGTGTCGACATAGAATTTCGTCCCGTGCCGAGGACACACGCAGCAAGCCAGAAGGGTCCGCTCGATGGAGCAGATCTGCCTAGCTTCAGCGCAGGGATGATCGATCCTGCGCAATCCTCCCGAGGCGTGCCAATCAATTTGACCCTGCAATTGACAAAGAGAGAAAGTTCATCAGTAATTAAGGGCGAAACTTACCGGTGTTGCTAGACAGTCCCGAATGTACGGCTATGAGAACCGATATGAAAGGAAATTAGCTAAATAGTCGATTCTAGTATATTCATGAGAATGAGTCAGTTAGAGCTCATGGGGGCGTATAAGAAGAATCGGTTGTCATTCAGGATAAATATCATTAAACAAATATTAATAAATGGCAATAAGATATCAATGATGATTGGTCCATACTAAGCCAATGATTACGAGTAACCGAACTCCTTTTTATATAAAGAAACAATTCAACATCACTTAACCATTTAATAAAGATAAATCTAATGAACATGTTAGATCTCATCTATCACCATGACCAGTGGGGCATAAGGCAGAATCATGCAGGCCGTAGAAACAACAATAGACTCGACGACCCTAACTCATTACTAATATCAGTGGGGCATGAGGCAGAATTATGCAGGCCGTAATACAATAATAAGATCATGGGGCTAACATATCTTTCAACTTATCTCTACTTCAACGGTCTCGTGATGTGAACTGCTCGTGCAAGCGCTTGATATCGGCTAAACAGCCGATTCAGGCATAGCGCACAGTTAAGGTCATGTCTCCTCAGGAGTGGGTCACCAACCAACGATCCCCACTCCACGGTGCCAACAGTGGGGTGAGAGGCAGAATCCCACTGGCCGTGATGACGGGCCATGGAACGGTTTTCATTAACTAATAGATCTACTCAAGATTGAACATGCCTTAACCGCACGCTATGCACGATTAAGATTGATGCAAAACAGCCGATAAAAACATAACTCATCGCTTAAGATGTGGATTAGATCAGTTTTAGATTAGCAAACGATGAGTCAAATAAGATATAAGGCCAATCCAGATCAATCTCAATCGGGTAGAGTAATATTGCTGTAATTAGATAAACAATGAAAGCAATAAGCAATATCGGTAACTTAATGAATCTACCAAAGACTGCCATATTAAGGTAGAGCCGATAACTTGACCTTGATCTAATTCAAGCAGTGGGGTGTGAGGCAGAATCACATAGGCCATACTTGAATTAGGCAAGAGTCGATAACTAGCTTATACCAGAGCCGCAGTGGGGGTCGACCGGATCGATGTAGCCATACGAACAGAGGTATAAACCATGACGGTACTTACAACAAGCAGAGTGGAGGTGGACCGGATTGATGCAGCCGTACTTGCTGAAGAACTCGCCGAGATCTACTCTACTCCTACTCCTAAGGGGTGGCCGGAGCTAAAAAAGTAATTGACTTGTATTTGATTGATTGTTTCTTTTACAATAGCCAGGGTTTGGTATTTATACCCAGAGTCTAAACATGAATCCTACTCGAGCACGATTTGTTACAACCTTTGGCATAAAAATAAAAACATTCCTAATTTGAGATAACTTGGACTCTAATCTTTTCCTTTTTGTAGAGTCCAACACATTTTCGTCCTGGCATCGGGCGTAACCTCTGTCGTTATCTGCTGGCGCCGTCTGAAGAAAATCGATTCCTAGATTTTGCATCTGAATCAGCTGTTTCTGATCCGCCCGCAACTGATCCCTTGATGATACGATCCTGGGAGCTTCTGGGTCCCTGTGACTCTCCTTTCAAATTTTGGTGTAAACAGTCCAGTCAAGAAGGAAGGCAAATGCATTCATCAAGTCGGACATGCGTCGACATTGGTTAGTCACGCTTGGCGAGATGTGCATGAGGGCTAGCCCGTTTGATCCTCAAACCAGGGATGGACGATTTGGTGGTTTAGGCTTCAAAATCATTGGAGGAAGGTTTGATAGTTTGGGACTCAAAATCAGGTGTGGAAAAAACAATAAGAGGAGCACTATTACTTATAAACCGTCTCTGGAAATAGATGTCCAGGTGCAGTTCTGTTAAGTAAACCGTCACTGAAAATATACCTATTTTCAGAGACGGACAACTTAAAAGAACGACTCTGAAAATAAGATTTTCAAGGATGGTTGCTTATGTCAACTGTCTCCAAAAAATGGTGATTTCTAGAAGCGATTTTATTGAGTCCACGTCCCTAGAAATCTATTTTTAAGAGTGGTTGACTAAGTCAACAATCCTTAAAAGGGTTGTGGTACAAATAAACTCATATATTTTTCAAATGAAGTTCGATGATGATAAAATTTATATCAAAGTTGCAGAGATTGACAAGATCTAAAACTTTACCATTGATATATTTTTTGTTTGAGATCGTTTAGGGTTCTAGATATATAAATTAAGTTTTTAGATTATGAATTTTAAATTCTTGAATTTTTTGAATGACCTTGGATGAAGACACGTTCTATACCAAAGTTGTAATTGTCGACGAGTTCTAAAACTCTGTAGTTTAAAATTTTCCCATTTAAATCATTTACAAGTTAAAATATTGAATACAAGGTTCGTACATATTAGTACAAAAGGACTGCATGATACATATAGCCACAAGTGATGGTGCAATTTGGTGGTAGGAGGTGGTATATGCGTGAGGCCAAAGGTTGTGATTGTGAGTTCATGTCCCCGTATGGCTGGACTTATGTAAAACGAATTGAAAATGTTCGATCGATGAAATAGTAGCGGTTTTTTTAAACCGGCCTTTCATGTTGTTTTGATCGTTAGCAAAAAAAAAATCATTTGTGTACAAATAAGAATGACAGACAATTTCTTATTTGCTAATTGCATACAACAGTCACACACGACACAAGAAATAAGCTAAAATTCTGTAAGAGCAAATCTCTCAATGTCACAGAAGAAAGACAGCTCGGACATTCTTTTAGAAGTAATTTTTTTCATCCTTGCTAAAAAAAAGTAATTTTTTTCATCCAACCTTCGCAGGCATCGCTTAAGCCTTGAGCTTCTCGGAATCTGACAAGAACCTTTGGAACGCAACGCGCGACGAACCACCATCCTCCCATGCCGCAGCTGCCGCCTTGCTGAGCGTCGTCACCTGCGCCCTGAGCCGCTCCCCTTCCTCGGACTCCAGCACCATCCTCACCTTGGCCTCCACCTCCCCCGCCTTGACAAGCCCTTGCTGCCATCCTGCGACCTCCACTCCAATCCCGGCCTCCTCCACCATGAACACCTTGTTCATCTTCTGCTCCGCATATAATGGCCAACAGAGCATGGGCACACCCGCTCTAATGCCTTCCAGCATAGAGTTCCACCCACAGTGCGTCACGAACGCGCCTGTTGCTTTATGGTGGAGCACCTCCACCTGTGGCGCCCACAGCTTGAGGATGAGGCCGCGGCCGTTTATTCGGTCCAAGAACCCATCCGGCAGGAGCTCGTCGAGGTCTGGGTCGGTGCGGGGGTCGGACAGCCGCTCGGGGTCGTCGCTTGGAGGAGCTCGCACCACCCACAGGAGCCGGTGGCCCGAATTCTCCAGGCCGACAGCGATTTCATTCAACTGCTCCCTGGAGTGGTTGCTGTAACACCCCGGTGTTATGCCTGCATTTAGGCATTGCTAATCATACATATCGTGCATCATCAAGCATCCTATTCATACATGCGTAATCTTGCATATAACAACTGAAACATTACTTCGAAACATACGAAACATGTTTGTGAAAAGTAAATGATGCATACATTTATTAGAATTGTTTTGCCCTGAAATTTTCTTGCTAGGTTAGTAAAACATGTTTGGCTGCTATTGTAAATCAGCTAGCAATAATTAGTTCAATTTTTGGAGCAATGTTTGTATTCAAAGTAATTCAAAATTTTGCTTTCAAAATAATTCTCCAAAATGAGGGTTTTGAATTAAAATTGACTTTGATTTTATAATTCAAAATCTAGATAGAATTGGACTTTGGTCATAAAAGCAAAGTTGTAGGGAATTAAATTCTAAGCAACTTTCATTTTTGGTACATTTCAAAAGAGGTCATTTTCTTGCTCAAAATAATATTTGAAAACTGTTATTTGAAAATTTATTGAAAATGGAAATTGAAAAGAATGTTTCATTTTTTCATGGGCCGCCGCCTCCTTTCCGCCCAGCCCATAAGCCGGCCCAAAAAGCCCCAGCCTCGCCTCGCCTCGGCCCAGCCCGCACCACGCCCAGCCCGGCCTGCCTCACCACCAGCGCGCTTCTTCTTCTCCAGCCGCCGTGCCGTGTCGTCATTACACGCGTCTGACCACGTCGGCGGCGCCCGCCAGCGTGTCCGCCGCGCCCCCGCTAGCTCGACCACGCAGCGCACACAAGGGCTTGAAGAGGAGCGCCCTGCTGCCAATCGCCGCGCGCTCTGCCTTTCACTCCTCCCAGACTTTGCCTTTCCTTCCGCCAGAGCATGCGAGCCCGAGCTCCGCCCTCGCCAGCGCTCGAGATCCGCGGCGTCAAACTCCCGCACCACCGCGCCATTCTCCAATTCAATCACGCCCGCAGCTCCGCCTCGCCTTCCTTGAGGTCGCGCTCGAGCTTACTCCGCCTTCCGAGCATGTGTCGGGCCTCCCGCGTCTCGTCACGCCGACGGCCATGGCGCCCGGCCGTGCTCGGCCGCCATGGAACCCGTCTTCCTTCTCCCCTCCACCTCGCCTAGCTACCCTACTACCGCTCGCCTTCTCCTCGCCGTCTCCTGCGCTCGCTTCATTGGCCGCTGCCGCGGAGATGCGACGCGGCCGCCGCCGAGCCCGAGTGCCATTGTCGCGCTGCGCAAGCCTCCTCAAGCAGAAGCGCTCTGCCTCGGTGGCCAAAGCCGAGCCAGTAGAGGGTCGACGCGATGGATGGGGGCCCCTCCCCTCCCTCGCTTTGGGCCAGCCAGGCCGGCTGTGGCCGTGGGCGTTCATTTCCGTGGGCGGCCCAAAGAGCATTTAAATGATTTGTTTTCAATTTATTCATTATTATTTGAAAAATGTAAATGGTTTGCAAAATATTTGGATACTCAAAGTTGCTCCAAATTTGTTGAAACAAATTTTTCTAGGTTCCTTATCACCAGATCTACTTGGAAAAAATAGTGCATGTCATTTTTGATATACTTTTCTGTAGGATTTTATTTAATCATAAATATTGCTGATAACTTGAAAAATGTGTAGAAAAATCTATAGTCTTCAGAAAAATATGATTGCAAGGTTGTTAATCTTACTATGTAATGTACTTCCTAGGAAAAATATATTTCATGCATGTACTGTGTAAAAATTTTGAGGTGTAGTTCAAGTACCTTAAATGGCTGATTTTTGTTATTTTTGCTAGAGAGCAAAATTTGTACAAAACATGCATGTGAAAATTTTTGGACAGTCATTATATACCATGAAGAACCTAGGAAAAATATTAATTCTGTTGTTTGACACTTTTCATAGTACAAAGTAATTTCATGCTCATTTTTAGGCTATAGCTTGTCATTTTTGTGTAGGATAGTTTACTTATCCAAATGCCATGAAATTTTTATGGTAGTCTGTTTAGGGTAGTATTATGCTACTGTAATTTTCTCAGATTTTTAGGAGCATCAGAAATATATGTTGCTATTCAAACCTATTATTAATTAGGGTTTAAGCAAGTGTTGCTTTAAGTGTGATTAAGAAATTAGCAAAGCTTTGGTGTATCTTTGAAGCATTTAATAAGATGTGTTGACTTAACATATTGGTAGTAGAAGAGAATGCAGTAGATGACATGTGCTTGTAGCATAGTTTCTTGGATGATGTTGACTACCTTGCCTTTCAACATATCCATTGCATTCATCTCCTTCGATGCACCGATTGCATAGGCACTTACACGCATTGCATCATACAGGATCGCAAACCGAGAACCCAGTCATCATTCCCGAGGAGCCCGAGGAGCAGTTTGAGAGGTGCAACGCACGGAAAGTGCCGTGGCCGACGAGGAGGACGTTGAAGAACTTCCGAGTGCCCCGATCACCGTCCGAGCTCCTTCGAGAGAGGCAAGCCCCGAGCATCTTTCTCCGGTTTGCAATGATTTTGTTAAAAGCTTTACTTGAAATTGATGCATTACGTTCAGGAGTTGTTTGCAACCGTTGCTTTGCATTATACCTTGTTTACCTTTGTTATACTATATCCTTGTTACCCTGGTATCCGCAGTCGAGTCAATGCTTAGGCCGGGCTTTAGACCGGTAGAAGTCGGGTGATTTCCCACCGCGAGCTATAGGTGGTTACCGGATCTGTTTGGATGGCTATGAAGTCATGGTATAACTAAGTGTTAAATGAAGTTGAGACCGGCGGAGAGACTTGCGGGGTTTTGGACCGTAGTGTTTCCGTCAGTAATCGATTAAGGACCGACCGTTGTTGGGCCTCGAGTCATGTTGAACGATGCCTTACATTTAGCTGGCCGGATAAAGTACCTTCCGACCGCTGAAGCCGGGAGATTTTTCGGGCGAGTAGATTGCCCATGAGCCAAGCCTTTGTGCGAAGCGGTGTGGTAGGACACGGGCGGGATGATAAGACCAAAGTGCGATCGGTCGGCCCCGGTACATGTGGTTCTGGCAAACTCGAGATACCGGAAAGTTGACTCGGTGATCAATATCTCACTTTAGCGGGTGAGTGAGATTTGTGTAAGGAATAAATCACCAGGTTAGGAATCGATTCGAATCGCCATCGCTCCCGGATAGTGAGCACTTGACTTGAGTTACTTCATCGTAGTAAATGTTTATGGAACACTTGGACAGCTTATAGTGAATATGACAAGATGGAAGTTGTTTAATGATCGATGGTTATCATTAATTGCTTAATCACATGTTTACTCTAGTATAGGTGCAAATCTAGTTGACAAGTTAATAATAATTAACTTGGCAATAATGCTTTTAGAAAGGTTCTTGAAATGCTAAAATGCTTCTTTTTGCAAATGAGTCACTACCCTACTATAAAGCCCTTCATAATCCTTGGTGTCATTTATTTTCGGTTATGTCGGGTAAAATCCGGCCGAGTACCTTCTCGTACTCGTGGTTTTATTCCCACTTGTTGCGAGATGGGCGAGATGTATTACTGGCTCATCAGTATCAACTGCCTTTATCCTGCGATGGGTGATGCTTAGGACCATGGGCATGGTCATTCCTTACGTCTCGTCTAATGCTTTTGTTGGAGATGATCATCAGCTGGCACTATATTTGAACTACGTGTGAGTGTGTGTGGTTTTAAACAAATGACTTCCGCTACTTTTATTCGAACTTGTTTTGTAATAACTATGTTTAAACTCTGATGTATCTGTTATGGAAACTTTTATGTAATATGTGATTGGTGACCGCTAAACTTATTACGATCATGGCTGGGACACGAGTTGGTTTGAAATCCTTCGTGATTTCACGGACTACCGGGTTATACGGGCTTAAGTTTGCTCAATCGTCTGCTCTGGTGGATGATTTTCTTACTTAATTTCGTATAATTGGTCGGTTCTGTTACAGCTGGCATCAGAGCATGGTTTAGCGTGTTACTGTTCACAAGTGTATTTAAAACAAAAGGCATTTGGAAAACGTGATTTTCAAAATCTAAAGTGTGCCAGTGATCATATTCCTTATGCCCAGTTAAGGACTTTAGGTGGCTTAATTAAGTACTGACTTGGGGTTCTTGCATCATATTTATCTTTCGTCGCTCATACGGCGTGCTATTGTATGAGTGCCACTTGTTTGAGTGGTAATGAATGGATCATTTGCCTCTACGCCTCGGTAAGTGTGAGTTGTGAGAGCATGATCGGATACACCGCCGATCTAGGGTGAATGCTTATATGATGCTGGAGTAATTACATGTTCTACGCATGTTTTACAAAGGTATCTCATGTATGGGTCTTCCGTCTGTGGAGGCGATGCCGTCAATAGGACGATGGTTCGGGTAGTTACTACCGTTGTACACGTATCTGGGGATTCGTGTAGAGCGTGTAGATAGAACTTTACTGCTATTATGCATTCATTGGGAACTGGGCTGAAATGAATCTTCTGCAGGTACATAACAACGCTATCGTGTAGAACGTATTAGCCACGTATTGAGAGATCGTTGTATGCCACCGAATTCGTCGTTAGAAATTATTTATTCCTAAGTTTGTGAGAACGTACGGTACGTACATACATCATGTTACTTGTGCATTTCATTCATCTCATGCATTCCTCCCCTTATAAATTGGTTCTCTCATTTTGATAAAAGTAGTATCAACTAAAATATGTTTCCCCGAGGTAATGAAAGAACTTTTGCTACAGATGGCCCGCACGAAGCAGACCGCCCGTAAGTCCACCGGAGGAAGAGCACCTCGACGCCCGTTGGCCCTGAGGGAGCACCGCACCACGGACACCTTCTTGAGCGAGTTTGGCATGCCGACCTTGCTTTGGAGAGTGCTCCATGATGTGGGGTACCCAGAGGGTCAAGAGCCGGTGTACTCTTGGAATGAGAGCCAGTTGGCAGATGATGGACTTGCAGTGGTGGAGATCACGGTTCCTGCTCTCGGTGATGCTCCAGATTGGGATGGTTGGCATTTGGAGTTTGAGGGCCG